GACCAGACGTCCTGCTTTTGGCGGGACAGTCCCACCTTTTAACAATTTGTTCCATGTCCCGCTGCGTTTTAAAAAAGTCCCGATTTTTGGAAAGACCGCATGAATGAGCAGTAGAACAGGAAGGGAATAGCCATGTGGCTATTTCGCCAGGATATGAGTTTTATATTATTTTTGTTAATTTTATAATGTTAAACTGTAAGAATAATAAATAATTGTTGAGAAGTGATTATCGAGAACTGCTTATCAAAGTTTGCATTGTTGTCAGGCCCTGTCCTGCCCCCACCCTGCCCCCCAGCCATGTTGTCCTGCTTTACCAATGTTAAAATCTGGTCACCCTAAGAGAGGTAGATGTATGGAACTGAATTGAGAAAAGACATGAACCCAGATACTTACTGTCATTTGATCTTTGATAAGCCTATCAAAAATATAAATTGGGGGAAAGGTTCCCTATTTAACAAATGGTGCTGAAAGAACTAGCAGGCAACTTATAGAAGACAAACTGGACCCACACCTTTCACAATTAAGAAAAATTGACTCTCACTGGATAAAAGATTTAAACTTAAGACATGAAACTATAACGATTCTTGGAGAGAGCGCAGGGGAAACATTGGAAGAAATTGGCCTGGGAGAATACTTTATGAGGAGGACCCCCTCAGCAATTGAAGCAACATCAAAAATACATTACTGGGATCTGACCAAACTAAAAAGCTTTTGCACAGCCAAGAACATAGTAAGTAAAGCAAAAGCAGATAGCCCTCAGAATGGGAGAGGATATTTGCAGGTTATGTTTCTGACAAAGGTTTGATAACCAGAATCGACAGAGAACTCAAACTTATTAATAAGAAAAGGACAGGTAACCCCATTTCATTGTAGGCAAGGGACTTGAACAGAAGCTTCTCCAAAGAAGATAGGTGCATGACCTACAGACACATGAAATAATGCTCGTCATCTTTAATCATCAGAGCAATTGCAAATTAAATTCACTTTCAGATATCATCACCTCCCTTAAGAGTGGTTCACACAACAAAATTCCAAAATTACAGATGTTGGTGTGGATGTGGAGAAAAGGGAACACTTCTGTACTGCTGGTGGGAATGCAAGCTAATATGTCCCTTTTGGAAAGAAGTGTGGAGAATACTCAAGGATCTAAAAGTAGACCTACTGTTTGATTCTGCAATTCCTCTGTATAGCCAAAAGACCAAAAATCACTCTTTAACAAAGATATTTGCACCAGATTGTTCATTGCAGCTCAATTCATAATAGCCAAGTCATGGAAGAAGCCCAAGTACCCATCAACCCATGAATGGATTAATAAATTATGGTATATGTATACCATGGAGTATTATGCAGCCTTAAAAATGATGGAGACTTTACCTCTTTTTTGTTTATATGGATGGAGCTGGAACATATCCTACTTAGTAAAGTATCTCAAGAATAGAGGAAAAAGTATCCAGTGTACTCAGTACTATGATGAAACCAATTTACAATCACTCACTTTTTCATATGAACAAGAGATTACAACTATGGCCCAGGATGGAGGGGAGGATGAAAGGAGAGGGGGGAAGCCAGACACAGAGAGGATGAATGGGGGGATCACACCTATGGTGCATATTGCAAGGGTACTTGTTGGATCTATTAAGTATAGAGCAGGTGTCCTCAAACTATGGCCCCATGGGCCACACGCAGCCCACTGAGGACATTTATCTGGCCCACTGGGTGTTTTTGCTGCCGCTGCCTGTCCTGCTTAGCAGCTGACTGGTCCTGGGGCCTGTAGTCCAGCCCTCCAATGGTCTGAGGGACAGTGAATGGCCCCCTGTTTAAAAAGTTTGAGGACCGCTGGTATAGAGTATAAATGTCTTAACACAATAATGAAGTAAATGAATTGAGAGATATATTAACCAGTCCAATATAAGTATTTCAAATTGTATATGAAATCAGCACATTGTACCCCTTAAATGCATTAATGTATACATTATGATTTAACAAAAAAAAAAGAAATAAAAATAAATTTTATATAAAAGGTATCGGACTATAAAGTCTCTGAAGCTTGGGTTTTTGTTTGGCTCAGTTTTTTAAAGAGATTTGTCAGTAATGATGCGTCACAGTCTAGTTGTTTGATTTTGCTGCTGGATGATTTGCTGTTGCACAAATATACTACAGTTTAAATTTAGTTCTTTGTTTCATGGAAGTTTTCCTTTTGTTAAATGTGCTATCTTGTTCATGCCCCTGATCTCAGCCGGAACTCATGAGAACTGTTCCATGTGTGCTTCCATTCATCTATTGCTCCCGGCACTTGTTCTGTCTGAAGCTTGCTGGTCCACCTTCTTTCTTTCCTTCCTTTTCTTTTTAATTTGATGTTGGCTGGAGGTGCGAAATTATATGAAGAAGACTATTTCACTTCTTTATCCCAGAATGCTTTCTCTGTGGTTATTATTTTTAATAGTGGGAAAATACACATAAAATTTGTCATCTTAACCATCTTTAAAGTTCAGTGGCTTTAAGTGTATTCACATTGTTGTATAGCCATCCATCTGCAGGACTCAACTATCTTGCTTTTTTTTTTTTCCTTTAATTTGAGACAGTCTCATTTTGTTTCCCTTGGTAGAGTACAATGGCATCACAGTTCACAGCAACCTCTAATTCTTGGTTAGGCTCAAGCAATTCTCTTGCTTCAGCCTCCCAAGTAGCTTGGACTACAGGCAGCTGCCACATTGCCTGGCTATGCTTTTTAGGAGACAAGGTTTTGCTCTAGCTCAGGCTGGTCTTGAACCCGTGACCTCAGGTAATCCACCTGCCTCGGCCTCCCAAGTGTTAGGATCGCAGGCGTGAGCCACTGCACCAGGCTTAATTTATCTTGCATAACTAAAAACTCTGCATCCAGTAAACAGTGACTTCTCATTCCCCCCAAACCTTTCTGTTTGTAAATTTATACAAGAATGTTCCTGCGCCTTTTATAAAACTACTATTGAAACTACTATTGGTATTTATATCTTCATATGAATAAAATAACCGGGTGTTAGAATTACTTTTAGGGCCAGCTTGTAATCCTAGAACTCTGGGAGGCCAAGGCAGGTGGATTGCTTGAGCTCAGGAGTTCAAGAACAGCCTGAACAAGAGTGAAACCCTGTCTCTGCCATGAAACAAAAAGTAGCCATATGTGGTATTGCATGCCTGTAGTCTCAGCTTCTGAGGAGGCCAAGGATGGCTAGAGCCCAAGAGTTTGAAGTTGTTGTGAGGTATGACACCACAGCACTCTACCTAGGGCTACAGATGAGACTGTCTCAAAAAAAAAAAAAAAATAGAAAAGAAAAAGAATTACTTTTAGGAAAAGTTTGTTCCACCTGACTTGCTACATCTAGTACTAGGAAAAGCATGCTTTCTACTAGATTCCTTTTGTACTTGGGTTGCCAAGAGGCACAGTGATTATCTTGAGCTCAGGTTCTCTTGTATAATTTTGTTCCTCCATTTTATGTGCTTAAGGACTCTCAGAGCTTTTTTTGGAGCAGAAGAAATATTAAAAAAAAAAAAAAGGATTTATTTTTAAGTGGTTTTGAGTATAGCTAAAAGAAAATTATCCAAAAGAATTTTTTGTGTGTTCATTTGAATGTAAGCATTTTTACTACATTGCTAAGTTTTTTTCCAGCAGAATTATTATATTTAAGATAGGCAGAAAATCTTAGTGGTTATGGATAAGTTTGATGTTATGTCCAAAGTAAAACCTTTTAAAAGGAAAAGGAAATAGGGCAGCACCTGTGGCTCAGCCAGTAGGGCGCCAGCCCCATATATCAAATGTAGCAGGTTCGAACCCAGCCACAGCCAAACTGCAACAAAAAAATAGCTGGGTGTTGTGGTGAGTGCCTGTAGTCCCAGCTACTGGGGAGGCTGAGGCAAGAGAATCAGGTTGCTGTGAGCTGTAATGCCAGGGCACTCTACCAAGGGCAACAAAATGAGATTCTATCTCATAAAAAAGAAAAAGAAAAAAAGAAATAATGTTTATTACATGCTTATTATGGTATTTTTTTAATTCTCACAGAGCTCTCATTTATTATTTACTAGGTTTATTACCTCATATTTCAGTTGTGAATGCTGAAGCTTATTCATGTAAAATGACTTTCCCAGTTCTAGGAAAAGTAGAACTGGAATTTGGACCCCTTTTTTTCTTTATTCTTTTTTTTTTTTGAGACAGAGCCTCAAGCTGTCACCCTGGGTAGAGTGCCATGGCATCACAGCTCACAGCAACATCCAACTTCTGGGCTCAAGTGATTCTCTTGCCTCAGCCTCCCAAGTAGCTGGGACCACAGGTGCCCGCCACAGTGCATAGCTATTTTTTTTTTTTTTTTTTTTTTTGGTTGCAGCCATCATTGTTTGGCAGGCCCAGGCTGGATTCAAACCCGCCACCTGAGTGGTGCCTTAGCCACTTGAGCCACAGGTGCTGAGCCCACTCCTTTTTTTTCTAAAAGAGATCATAGAAACTTTATTATAGATGTCTCTTTATTGACAGGAACATTTTATGGCATAAACATGAGCTGTGATAGCCTTTATTCTATAAATATTTACCCATTTCTTGGATTATATTCTAAATAACTTTGGGGGGGATATAATAATTCATTTCTTAAGGATCAGAAACTTAAAAATATTACACCTTGACATTGAAACTTAAAAATCAACCTATCCTAGGCCAAAACAGAAGTGTACAAATTATCTTAAAGATAAATGATAGCTGTAGGTCTACAAATGTTGACCATTTTTTTACAATTAATGTTTGTGAAATTCAACAAATGGTTTTTGTTTACAATAGAATAAATATTAATCAGGATATCAACTAAATTGAATTATGTACTATATGCTCTTTTGGAGCTGACTTCTCTTACAGTGCATTTAAGGCTCATTCATTTTGTTAAGTGTATTAATCATTTATTTTTATTGCTAAGTAGTATTCCATTGAATCTGGAACAAATATATTAATAATCTTGCCATGTTTTATTCTTTTTGATTTTTAGCTTTCTAGAGTATTGGATCTTCCACTAGAAAACTTGATCAAGTCAATATCTGCAGTTCCAATTTCCAAAAAAGAGTTAAGTATAATGTATTTGTAATGATCTTAAATGTGGCTAATGGCTGGGCGTGGTGGCTCACATCTGTAGTCCCAGCAATCTGAGAAGCTGAGGTGAGGAGTATTTATTTATTTTGAGACAAGTTTCACTCTGTCGCTCTGGGTAATCCCTGGCTAGAGTGCCATGGCATCATCATCGCTCACAGCAACCTCAAACTCTAAGGCTCAAATGATCCTTTGACCTCAGCCTCCCAAGTAGCTGGGACTATAGGCACCTGCCACAGAACTTGGCTATTTTATTTTTAGTGGAGACAGGATCTCGCTCTTGGTCAGGCTGGTCTCCAACTCCTTAGCTCAAGCAATCCACCTGCCTTGGCCTCCCAGAGTACTAGGATTATAGGTACCACCACACCCAACCTGATTTTTATTTTTATAAATAAAACATAAGATACTGTTGAAGTTACTTATATATGTTTCTTGATTCCATTCTATCAAAGATAGCTCTTCTTTCTCAAAGCTGAAAGAAATGATTTTCACTATTAGTTGCTTTGTGTTTCTTGTTGTTGCTTTGTTTTTTCATGCACCCAATGAAAAGGACAAGTGGCAATTTAAAGAATTAGAGTGTTAAAAATGATCTTTGTCTTTTTTCTCACATTGAAACTCATAATATTTTTAAAATATGTTATTTGGAGGTCAGTGGAGGGGCTTGGGTTGAAGCAGGCATTCGAAGGAGTAGAGGAGGCTTGAGCTTTTTTCTGAGTCTGCTTATTTGTTGCAGTCAGATTTTGGAGACATTTATTTGACAGACATCAGTTTTCAGGTAAACCAAGGTCACTGTTCTACCTATTTCACAGAAATATCTTAAGGCTACAGTTAGATAATAGAAGAAGAAGAATTTTATAAAAGTGATAAGAAAAAATTATAAGTCAATACTAGGTGATTTCAAATTTCCTTGCTTTTAATTTTGAAAGCATGTAGAACACCTTCTGATAAACAGTATGTCAGTATGGAGAATCCCTAGTCTTTGTTAGACCCTTTGTTAGTCCCTGGTCTTTGTTAGACCAATGATGCTTTTAAGGTAACAAATTTTTCCCATTTCAATGGCTGTCTTCAGAGAAGTAGCTGATTTTCAGCTTTCTGTGGATTCTTTATTAGACAACAACAGTGACCGTTTGAGAACAGATACACAAGTTCAAGCCAAGAGACTGGCAGAGAAGGTATGTTCAGCACTGTCTCTCTTTGACTATTGAAGTTACATACATATACTTCTTGATTCTTTTCCATGCCTTCCTTCCCCAAAGGTAACTCATCTTATGAAAGAAATGATTTATTTCACTAAAATAATACGTTTATTATTTTAAAGTAAAAAATACTTTGCAGGCAATCTCAGCAAAATAATGAATTTAATAGTGTTTCCTTATTCAAGTTATTTTGAATACTATAATTTAAATTCATTGTAGCCATAAGGTTACAGGTTTTCAAATTAGTTATAAAGCATTTCTCTTGAGCTGACATTGTTCAATTTTTTGATTACTTGCAGGAGGACTAAATTACTAAATTTACAGATTAATACTGTATGGACATCTGAATTTAGGAGAATAAGCTTGATAAATTAGAGCAGTGAGTTGCAGTTTTTGAAGTGAGTTTCTGAGAAGATGAACACTAAAATATGAGAAGAAATGATTAAATAGAATCATGATTACAGAGAAGAGGTAGTTAGATGATTAAGCCTCTTTGTATTTCTAAGTTTTCTGATGGTTTGACAGGTAAAAGAGAAATTGAAAGGCTTATAAAGAATGACTAAATCTAAATTGTTATTATAATGATCTTAGGAAAGGAATATATTGTTAGACAAGAATTTTTTTATGTGAATAAATGGAAATAAAATCACCAAAAAAAAAAAAAAGAATTTTTTAAGTAGTATTATTAACATGTAACATAAAGAAGATATCTGATAAGTCTGAAGAATTGGATCAATGAAAACGTCATTATCATAGAAAAAGATGTTTAATGAAAGAATAAGTGTGATAAAGGAGCATTGGTAACTTATCAATCACAAAGTCACTCCAGAGTTCTATCAGGAAGTACACAAGGACTAGAATCATTCAAATTATAGTATTTAGTCCCTTTTTTTTCATTTCTTCTAAGTTAAAAACAAAGACTAGCAACTCGTCAGTGGCAATAGGTATCTCTTCAAGTTCTATGGGTATATCAGGGGTTCTGGACATCTAATAAGTTAAAAAGTGAAAGCATGTGCATAGAAGACAAATTATAGTAGAACCTCCATAGATGACCACCATAGACCAGATGTGCATCCCATGTACAGATCAGGACAGTAGGCCTAGTTGCTTAGGTTGACCACCTCCAGATGCTGACCAGTTTGTCACAGTCCTTGGATGGTCAACTTAACAGAGATTCTGCCGTATTTATCTGTTGGTGCTTTAACATGAGCCCTGACACTCTCCTAAAAGGCAGATAAGATAAAAGTATTCATTGCGTATCAGAGTAGACAGAGTGAGACTATCTTCCCTGTTAATATGTAGAATTTGAGTAGGGGAAGGGGAGGAAGAGAGAGGCTCTGAATCAGAACAGCGTTCTAGTCAGGAAAAAAAAAATGTGTTTACCTAAATAGAATTATGGAACTGAAGATACTGGCTAAGACTCAGGTCCAGGTATAGGTGACTTAACCTGCTGACTTTGTAAACCAGTTTTATAGTATAGAACTATATTATCTTATTGGGCCTTTGATATAACATGACTATTTTATGTGGTTTATTATCTTTTCAGTTAAGATGTGATATGGTGGTGAGTGAAATCAGAGCTGGTCAAGGGACTGTAAATTTCAAAATAAACAGAGAACTGTTAACAAAGGTAAGAATGGGTTATTATCTAGCCATTATGCTTTCACTCTGCTCTAGTCACAGTGGCCTTTCTTCAGTACTTAAAGGCATTGCATCTCCTGTTGCCTCAAGCCTTTGTATATACCAATCTCCCTGTCTGGAGTGCTCCCACAAGTTGATACCTTCTTTCCTTCAGATCTTGATATTTCCTTGGCAATGTCTTTTGACTTCTCCAGTTAATACAATTTCCTAACACTGTACAGTCATGTACCACATAACAGTGTTTCAGTCAGCAGTGGACTGAACATAAGACAGTGGTCTCATAAGATCCTAATACTTTACTGTTATTGTACCCTTTCTAGATATATTTAGATAGACAAATATTTACCATTGTATGATGTATGGTATTGGGTAGAATAACATGCTATACAGGTTTGTAGCCTGTGCTACATAAGAAGAAATAGGCTATGCCAGATAGCCTAGATGTATAGTAGTAGTCTTGCCATCCAGGTTTGTGTAAGTACCCTCTTCATTTATTTGAATGATACCACTTGCTCTTTAAACTCTGCTTGCCATTAGAGCTTCCAACATCTGTTCACAGTTTTGGATTTCCAGTTCCAAGCACAATTCCTGGCATTCAGTGGGTGCTAGATAACTATTTGTTGAATGAATAAATGGAATCTACATTGAATAAGAGAAAGGTTTCTTTTCTTTAGCAACTTGTAATCTGTTAAGAGCATAAGATTCATACAGAAGAAACCATGAAATAGCTGCTTCTTTTAATAAAACAGTAAAAATTAAAACAAACGTAGTTGATACAATAAGTATAAGAAGTTCAGAGATGGAGAAATCAGGATGGTCTGGAGAGATTAAAGAAATCTCTTGAGTTGTGGGTAATCATTCAAATGAGACATTGGTGGACAGATAATCCTGGCTAATGATAATCTTGGAGGACAGATGATCCTGGAAGTGGTATGAAATCTTTCATTGATAATTTCATCTCAATTGAATTTTAAAATGTAACATATCGATTGGCTTATTACTATGTTTTTAAAGAGAAATACATCCCAGTGCTGAGTTGATGAGGCTTAGTAAATGTTGAAATCTTTTTTGGGGCGGATGGAGTCTCATTATGTCGCCCTCGGTATAGTGCCATGGCGTCACATCTCACAGCAACCTCCAGCTCTTGGACTTAAGCGATACTCTTGCCTCAGCCTCCCAAGTAGCAGGGACTACAGGCACCCGCCATAACACCCAGCTGTTTTTTGTTGCAGTTGTCATTGTTTAGCTAGCCTGGGCCAGGTTCAAACCTGCTAGCCTCGGTGTATGTGGCTGCTCTTCCCACTGAGCTACAGGCACCACCAAATGTTGAAATCTTGAATTAAAAAAAAAAAGCTATAAACCAATATTTCTAATAATACAATCTCTTACTAAGGTTGTATATTTCACAGGCCTTTTCCTATTGGTTCTGTCAGAAGGAGAGTTAGTATTTCATTTCTTGTTTCTAGATCTTTGAACTTTATTCTTCTCTTATTCGGTAAATTAGCCAAAATGAGCCACACAGAGACAAGAAGGACATTTGTTTTGAGCTTGCTAAAAATCACCTGCTGAACTCTTGATAACATTTCATGTCAGCTTAGCAAACCAGTGAGTTAAATTGGTAATTTTTTTTCCTCTTAGTTTCATCCCTCTCAGTGTTTTCTTTACTCATCTTATTTCTTAATAACAACTTAAAAAACTTAAACATCCTACCTTCCCTGGAGAGTCCTCTGATTTTCCCCTCTGCTTTTCATTGTTCTTTTGTTAATTATTTTAATTTTGTTTTTTTTGAGACAGAGTCTTTCACCCTGGGTAAAGTGCAATGACATAACAATAGCTTGCAACCTTAAACTCCCAAATGATCGTCCTGCCTCAGCCTCCTGAGTAGCTGGGACTATAGGCACCTGCCACCACATCTGTTACGAGGGAAAAAAGAAAATATAATTTTAACCAAACAGGAAAAATGTAGATAAAACCCTATTTTTTTAGGTATGTCTCAAAAATACTCACTGTAAGCCAGGCATGGTGTCTTATGCCTGTAATCCTAGCACTCCGGGAGGCCGAGGCAGGCGGATCACCTGAGCTCACACCAGCCTGAGCTAGAGCAAGACCCCATCTCTACAAAAAAATACCCGGGCGTTGTGGCAGGTGCCTTAGTCTCAGCTACTTAGGAGGCTGAGGCAAGAGAAACACTTGAGCCTGAGAGTCTGAGGTTGCTGTTAGCTGTGACACCATGGCCCTTTACCAGAGGCGACAAAGTGAGATTCTGTCTCAAAAAGGAAAAAAAAAAGTAAATAACATTATTTTATTTCACACACATTTTTTGATTTACCAAATTCAACTTTACATTACAAAAAAAGTCTCTCCTATTTACAAAAAAAGGAGAGACTAATTTTTAAATTAGTCTCAGCCTTGGGAGGCTGAGGCAAGAGAATCGCTTGAGTCCAAGAGTTAGAGATTGCTGTGAGCTGTGACACTACAGCACTCTGTGGAGGGTGACATAGTGAGAGTCTCAAAAAAAATAATAATAATAATAAAAAATAATCATCTTGGGCAGCGTCTGTGGCTCAAGGGGTAGGTTGGTCCCGTATACCGGAGGTGGTGGGTTCAAACCCAGCCTCGACCAAAAAACTGCAAAAAAAAAAAAAAAAAAAGAAAGAAAGGAAAAGTAATCATCTATTACTTTTAATAGACAAAGTACCAGCCAATTAATGTGAATATTCATTAATTTGCTGAAGTGCTCCAAAAATTGAAACCTTTGAAAGATTTCATTTTTGATTAAAAGCCCATTATGCACCAATACTTAGATTCTGCGTATTCTTACATTTAAACATGCATATTGTTAAATAGATGGGTCTCTGGCTTATTCATCTATTGGAATATCAGGGAATTTTAGTAGCCCACTGAAATTCTTTACTAAACAACTTTATCTGTGTGCCCACTAATTTTATAAATTTCATTATTATTGTTTACCAGGAACTATATTACTAAAATCTAAAGACAAAATAGTTTGGATTCTAGTCTAAAGGAGCGTATGATCTAAAAGGACAGTATTAAAAAAAAAAA